GTTCAAAATGTGCCTTAAAACTTTTGTTTCCACCAGTGTAAAAGAATTGTTTGAACCAAATGATTACAATAGTATCAAAAAATTTGGTAGCAGAGTATTTTATACGGAAATCATAATTTAACTGTGGTTCAACTGTTTCATATTGTGAAATACCACCTATCGATTTAGCCTATGGTGTGAAGTTTTATGGTCGAACCGCCAGTACGTACGAACTTTCAATTCAGACTTTAAATAAAAACCACTAAAATATTGACATTATCAAATACCCTTAAATCTCATAAATTACCATAATCGTATTAAGGGAAAAAATCATCCAAATGATAATACTGATTTAGAATTTTATGGGGTCATTTGGAAGTTGCGATTGTTAAATAGATATTTTGTTGTGAATGCATGTATAATATTATATATGTATTGTCGGATTAGATGCATTGTGTATGTCACATAAGCAAAAAGTTTAGTCAAAACAATCCCAACTCAACTATCTCAACAATAACAACTAAAAGTTAAGATATAACAATCACTGATTTTGATTGATAGTTTCGGTCACATCACAGATGTAATCCATGTATTGGTTGTACTAAAAAATATAAAAAATGATGCATTCTAAACAATACATGTATAGTAACAATCTCAACAAAACAATCGCAACTTTCAAACGACCCCTTAATTGAAATGGAAAAGATCTATCAAATATAATGTCAATCTCCTAAAATAAATCAAAACTCAATAGGGCCAAGAATACCCACTAAGCAAAGCAGAAGGACAATTATTTCACACTACCTCATTTTCTCCCAGCCTCCCCCGAACTCGACTTCCCCATCCAACGAAGCTGCTAAAGTCCGCCTCTTCTTCCTCTAGCGGAGGGAGAGAAGATCGATCCGGCAAACTCCTTCTCTAGTCGGCGAAGCTCCAGCGGCGAAGTACGGGTTTGCTTTGAGATGCCAGTAGGTATTACCCTTCCACCACTAAGTTAATCATTCTCAAGGGCTTAGATCCTCGAGGTCATATCAACAGAGGTGTGGATTAGGCTGGATGAGACGGTGATGGCTACACTTGCCCAGCAGGTCCTCGATAATCCTCTTTGTTTTTTCATTTGTTCTTCCATCTCTCTCTCTCTATCTCTCTCTCTCTCTCTCTCTCTCTAAGCTTTATATCTCACCACTCTCCCCCTTTCCCTTCGTCTTTCTTCCCAACACCTGCAATCGAGAGAAACCTAGAAACATCCAAATTACTTCTCCAATTTTGCGTTCGAAATGCTTCTTCTCCATTCATAGTCGATAGTGTGAATCAGAGGACCTGAAACCTGGCGAACATATGGCCGCTTATTCCTCTCAAATGGCGCATTTCTCCACAAAACATGAGTTCACCAATATAGATTGTGTGGTGCTCGCACTTGTGCGCGAGCTCTTGAAGTTTAAGTCTGGTACGACCCATGAAGCATTCATGCTTGTATAGGGCCGATCCATATACATTGCCTTCTCGACAATGTGCCTGTGTATAGTTATATGCATTTTAATAATTAAGTTTTTACCTATTCGCAACACCAAGATAACAAACAATCATAAATGCACCCAGTATTTGATTTTGACTACATGATACAATACTACATTTAAACTAACTACCACTGATGCCACAAATAATAAGTATATCTCTAAATTATATATAAAATATTTCAAACATCACAAATATTAAAACTAAATTAATTATTATAAAGAGTAAAAATTGTATAATGAGGTTAATTATAACTCATTTATATGTTAATGCCCTTAAATTGATCAACACACCCAAAAATGGCAAAATGAACATCACATTAAACCCAATATCGTCTCATTATTGTCGGATCCATTCATGCTAGATTAGCCAGAGGTTTAATGTTTAGCAATTAACCATACTAAAATTTTAGAGAATCAGTCACCTATAGTTTGTACAAAGTATTATTGGTTCGTAGTAGTTCTGAAAATCTATATTAATTAAAAAATTCTACATCTCTGTTGCATATTCAATATTCAATTCGATATGCAATATTTCAAGCATTGAAATTACCCGTCATTTTATAGGTTATAAAAAATTATAAATCACATATTAAACTTTGCTTTTTAGAATATTTAATAGGCTAGCTAATCGTGATGAAAAGTTCCTATGCTTTTCAAATCTTCACTAAGTGTATGCTTACAATTCAAGAAGATAAAACAAATTTGTTTAGTATAATTGGTTGTGATAGTTGTTTTTTCTTAAGAGGCAATGGTTCAAATCTAGATGTTGATACTTTTTTTTATAGGAAGTAGATAAATAACTGCAATGAAAAAAATACTCTTCCACCTTTCACTCTCGTTTCACGAAATTGGAAATGAAAAATCTTAAAACATTGAATATATCTTATAGAAAGAGCTTCTTCAAACAGGCAAGAATGACATTTTACCTGAAATTATTATATCTTATAGAAGTGATTAATTGTGAAATCAGAACTCAAGTAACATTGATTCAAACATTAAATATGAAATTGTATGTGGGGTACAGTTTAGATAAAATATATGTGTGTAGCCAAAACATGGATCTTCGTGACATATATAGTAACTTTTTGTGACAAATCTACACATAATATAAAGATAAATTTGGCACTATGACAAAAAAAGAGGTTCGTAGAATCACTCTCATGCCACGGAATTTAAAAGAAGACTCTCATTTTCCAATTTCATCATTATATTATGTATAGATTTGTCACAAAAAAATGGCTATACTCGTTACAAAGGTCCATGTTTTGGTTACACTTCTGTATTTTGTCTAAACTAAACTAAACTACACATACAATTTAATATTAATGTTTGAATCAATGTTACTTGAGTTTCGATTTCAGAACTAAATGTCTTTCTATAAAATATAAATAACTTAAGATAAACTATAAATATAGAAGTATCATCACCAAACATATTCCTAGAGTTTAATTAAAAAAATAACAATAAATACAATGTAGTCTAGTTGGTTAAAATGTTCTTTCTTCATTTAAGTGACCAGCGACCGAACTCCAATGGTAACATTTTTAATATATAAAGATAAAGTGGGTGCAATGACAAAAATGACCTTCCTAGAATCACTCTCAGGCCACGAAATTTGAAAAGAGAGAATTCCAACCCATGTTTTGCCTTTATATATCTTGTAGATAACTAGGTGTAAGAGATTTGATTAGATTAAGAGATTTTGTAATAAATTTATAATTGTTTTATTCGGATTTGATTAGATTAAGAGATTTTGTAATAAATTTATAATCAGACTAAATATGTAAATAATATAGTATCAATTTAAAAAATTACCAACATTATTTTTTTAAAATTATTTGATTGCCCTATCTTTTATTAAAGTTGAAATATAAATATCCACCGCAAGCACATATTCCAAGTTTAGATTTTATTTTTGTTGAAAAGGAGGACAACAACTCGCTAAAGAAGATTTATCGCAATGGTGAGTCTCCACTCTCCAGTTTCATTAAATATAATGGATGAATATATGATGTGTGTGCATAAAAGAATTGGATAGGCCTAAGATCCAACTTAGTAGTGAGATCAAGGAGTGTGTTAGGAGAAAACACACGACATCAACATGGAAATGTGACGCATTTCTTCAAAAGGAGTAGAGAGAAAAATCTTGTTTAGGAAAAATCTACGCTGCCTATGATGTTAGACATGGTAGAATTCTCTAGCTATTTAATTTTTTATTTACATTATCAATGTTAAATTTTCTCCTTAACGTCAATCATTATTCATAGTTAGACAAAAAAAAGTAAAATTCATAATTAGACTATGTAAAATAGATGGTAGCAGTGGGCTTCCCATGTCCACGTAATAATCTTGGTTTCCTTAAATAATTAACCCAATCCTAATCAACAGGAGTGAGCAACAGGTTGGTCCGTATCAGACCGCATCGGCTCAAACCGATTTTTGGATCAGATCACACCGAATTGAATATAATGTAGTCCGATCCTTGGTCTTATAAATTTATCAATACAGAAGAAAAATAATTGAATTGAATTTTGGACAAGACCAAACCAAACCAAAATCATATGAATACATTGTTGATCCAGCCCTCAATTCTAAAATATATTTCACTATTAAATCGCAGTTCTATTGAATTTGATTAATACCGGACCTTAACACACCTTACAAAATTTGCAAGTTCATCAATTCACTAATGTATGTGAGTGCTAGTTGCAATGGTAAGAACGACGGTACCAAATGTCTTGCATGTTGCCATCTACCCATCTTTTACCAATAATATAATTATATTGGTTTGTTTCCATAAGTGGTTAGGTTACCAAATTAAATGAAGGTGGTGTAAGTTATCAAAATTCTTAGGCAACAGTAACTTTACTTAATGTCTTGCATGTTGCCCTCCACCCATCTTTTATCAATAATATAATTATATTGGTTTGTTTACATAAGTGGTTAGGTTATCAAATTAAATTAAGGTAATGTAAGTTAGCAAAATTCTTAGGCAACAGTAACTTTACTTAAAGCTTTAATATATTATTTAATGTCTTGCATGTTGCCCTCTACCCATCTTTTATCAATAATATAATTATATTGGTTTGTTTCCATAAGTGGTTAGGTTACCAAATTAAATGAAGGTGATGTAGGTTAGCAAAATTCTTAGACAACAGTAACTTTACTTAAGCTTTATATATAAATAAAAAAATAATTAATATACCTTTTGGCTTCCTTAATTGCATCGGACCATAATGCGCATTGGGTACGAGAGCGGGATCCATAAGGCTCTCAACCATACATCATACCTAAGACCTCAAACATAGATAAAAAGAAATTTTATCAGCCAAAAGCAAAAGTAGATTGCCTCGAATCAAACAAGAATTTAGATCATTACGCGTAAGCAATGTCATGGTTCCTCATAAGATTATTGAACGATGGATCTTCCAATTCCGGAATGAATAGAGGTTTCTTCTTCTCAAAGATGTTTTGTTTTGAGGATGAGAGTTGGCACACAATGTCATGGTGCATAATCGTTGGATAAGCTGCATTCTGCAGTCAACATCAAACCGCACTTTGGATCAACAGTGCACTGTTACACGTCCAGGACTCGCTCCCATTGCCTCATCTCTTGCGGTCGAAGTCTTCGTGAACATCCTGCACCACTCTGATGGGTAAAACTCGGAAATGATTCTGTGTCCGTCCTATAAATTTTCCATCTTTCCTCAACATCTTATTCAGTAGTTACCATTTTGCAGGACATTTGCTCATGTTGACTCTGCAGACTTTGGCAATAGTGGAACCAATGAGCTGCTGCTTGGCATCTTGCCACATCAGATTAGAGGCTATCTCTTCCATTTCTCTCAGATGAACATCGTAGGCTGTTCCTTCGATCGGTGCACTGCTTGTTGCCCGACGGTGGTTTTCTTTCTGTAATTGCCTCTACCTTTTGTTCTCTGCTTTACATTCAGACTTGAAGTGAAACTTTGGCTGGTGGGATTTTCCTTCCCTCCGTTCAGGTTGTAAAGGAGTATAGAGAAAGAGGGATGGAATTCCTTCTCCAAGCAATCAACCATCCCACCTACTTAGCTTATCTCGCAGGACTCACCGAGCTCACGAAGTCTGCCAACTCATTCGACATCGATTGGGACGATGAAGATGATGGTATGACTAGCTTGATGAAATATGATTGGTGATGATTCCAATGTAATTCGTTCCCTAGACATATCCATTTTTAGTTGTGCATAACAGCTAGGTTAACTTTATTTGTTTAAATTATTTCTTCACCATAACTGACTGGCCTTGTTCCTCCAATATACATTTCCAAGTAGGGGTGGGCATCCAGTTCGGTAAACCCGTACCGACCCGAACCGAAGTCGACCGAACTATAACCGATATATTGTTGTTCGGTTCGGTATTCGTAAGAGGAAACTGGTTACTTTGGAAACTAGGATGCTCTCAACGAAATGGAATTCCGAATTCCAAACCGAAAAACGAAATATAACCCACACCCCTAACTAAAATCCACCCACAACCACTCTCCAGCCCACTGAAACTCTCTAGCCCACAGCCAACTCCATCCTCTCCAAACCCTAGCCTCACATCACAGCGGTCGCCACCCATCCTCTCAAAATAGCGGCTGCCGCCGCCTAGCCGTCCGCCATGCTCCGCCATCAGATCGGCATTCGCTCCGCCATGCAGACACCACGGCGGAAGAGGAGAAGAGCTCCCTGACATGCAAAGTGTTGATTGAGTCGAGCGTGAGACTCAGCCTGCTATTCCCTTTCCAATCGATCAATTGTAACCCTGATAAACCCTAGCTTCGATTTTTGACAAGATCAAGTGAAGGAAGGTGAAATGAACTAAAACTCGAATCAATGAAAAGAGTAAAGTAACTCCCCTTTCTTGTTTATCAAAACGACACCAACATGAGGTATTTCCAGCATAGATGCTAGCAAATCAGGTGTCACTTTGATTTCATAATCATAGACGAGAGTAGTGAAGAAGGAAGAATCACTTCCTGGACCTCTACGAAGATTGACATAGAAGAGGCGTACAGCCTCAGGACATTGACTGAACCTCAGGTCAGACACCAGAGATTCCCATCCTAGCATATGAAGATAGGCAGGAATATTCATGTCATATTTGGAAAAGGCAGTAGGCTGAATGGAGAACGATGGATAAAGAGGACGGTCTCGAAAGCGACGAAGATACCTAGAGTAGGTGGCAGCATTCCTAAAACTCTGATTCTTGAACAGAATAGATGACTGCAACTGAGCATTGTTAAATGCCATTTTGAAAAGCAGTGTTTGGTTTCTATATCTGCTCAAGACTAGACAAGGAGCAATAAAAGGGAGTGGAGAAAACGAAGAGATGTGACGAGGGTTATATGTGCTGAACACCATTTAATCCAAGGAAACTCTTCGGATGGAAAGGAAAGAATCGGCACGAGAAGGAAGAGATCCGAGAAAACAAGGCAAGAAAATATGTTATATACAATCAAATATTGTTAATTTCTTCTTGAGTAAATATGCCAAGTTTATGTCGAATCGGTAAAAATTTATCAGCACTTAAGGGTTTTGTAAAAATATCCGCCCATTGCATCTCTGTATTAATGAATTCTAGGTGGATTTTACCATCTTGAATGAGATCACGAATAAAATGATACCGGACCTCAAAATGTTTAGTTCGCGGGTGTTGAATAGGATTTTTAGTCATATTTATTGCACTTGTGTTATCACACAATATGGGAAGAGATCCTATACTAAGACCATAGTCCTGAAGCTGGTACTTCAACCATAACAGTTGAGTACACCCTAACCCTGCTGCAATATACTCTGCCTCTGCAGTTGATAATGCAACATAACTCTGTTTTTTACTGCTGCAATATACTAAACACCCCTTTCATAGCTAACTCAAACTGTTTGCACATTTCTTGATTAGATGATCCAAAAATTATATCTTCTACATACACTTGGACAAGCATAGTGTGACCATTTAGACTTTCAATGAATAAAGTTTTATCCACTGAACCTCTTCGAAATCCATCCAACATTAAGAAATTACTTAGCTTATCATACCAAGCTCTAGGAGCTTGTTTTAAACCATATAAAGCCTTGTTAAGTTTGTACACATGGTTAGGAAACTTGTGATTTTCAAACCCAGGAGGCTGAGCAACATAGACCTCTTCTTTTAAATCTCATTAAGAAACGCACTTTTAACATCCATCTGATAGAGTTTGAAATTTTGGGATGCAACATATGCACACAACAGTCTGATGGCTTCTAATCTAGCCACAGAAGCAAAAGATTCATCGAAATCAATTCCTTCCTCCTGATCATACCCCTGTGCTACTAGTCTAGATTTGTTTTTAGTTATGTCACCAATTTCATCAGTTTTGTTCTTATAAACCCACTTAGTTCTAATTATAGGTTTATCCTCAGGTTTTGGAACCAATTCCCAGACATTCAGTCTTTCAAAATAACTTATTTCATCTCGCATAGAAGCTATCCAGAATTCATCATTCATAGCCTCTTTTATATTTTTAGGTACTAGAAGAGACACAAAAGCAGTTTGCATGGAAGATAGTTTAGAGCGAGTTATCATACCTTCCTTAAGGTCACCAATGACCTGAGATGATGGATGCCTTTTTTGAATGTGCAAGGGGGGCTGCTATGACTCTATTCCCATCAGTCTCAGATGTGTATCATTTAACTGCTGGTTCTTGTGAACTTTCTTTTCTCATCTCCTTTTCAGCTTGATCTGCTTGGCTTAATTTATATGATCTTCCTAGCCCAAGATCATCATCTTCATCAATTTGATATGCACACTTACTAGGAGAAAACCAAATACCACCTTTATGGACTCCTCAACCTTGAGAGTCCATTTGTTATACACTCTAAAAGCTTTGCTATGAACAGAACACCCTAAGAAAATTGCTTCATCAGACTTGGAGTCAAATTTCCCTAGGTTATCTTTGGTATTCAGAACAAAACATCTACACCCGAATGGGTGAAAGTACCCCACATTTGGTTTTCTGGTTTTCCACAATTCATATGGTGTTTTGTTTAGTTTAGACCTGATTAAACCTCTATTAATAATATAGCATGCAGTGTTTATGGCTTCTACCCAAAAATGTTTAGGTAAACCATAATCGTTCACCATTGTCCTAGCTATGTCTATTAAAGTGCGATTTTTCCTCTCTACCACTCCGTTTTGCTGTGGAGTTCTAGGGGCAGAGAAATTATGAAAAATTCTTGTTTCTTCACAAAATTTATCAAAGCTATCAGATATGAATTCTCCCCCGTGATCACTTCTTATACTTACAATTCTGGTTCCCTTTTCATTTTCTAGTTGTTTAATCAGATTTTTAAATTGCACAAAGGTCTCTCCTTTATTTGAGAGAAATAGAACCCACGTAAACATAGAATAATCATCTACAACTACACAAGCATAGTATTTTACACCAAGGCTCATTACATTACTTGGACCAAAGAGATCCATACGTAGCAATTCTAGTGGTTTAGAAGTAGAAATTACAGGTTTACTTTTAAAAGTGGATCTGACCTGTTTACCTCTTGTGCACGCTTCACAAAAAAAATTCATTTTTACAGCTGATTTTAGGTATTCCAGTTACACTCCCCAAACTAACCAGTTTAGCTAACAACCCTACACTGATATGGCCCAGCTTCCTGTGCCATTCTAATTGTTCATATTTGTCTACAGTTACTAAACACATCTCATTGAAGTCATTCTTGTTATTCAGATTTATGCAAAATAGTTTTCCTTTCCTTATGCCTGTAAACAATACTTTTTCACTCTCAATATTCTCAACATAGCATTTTTTAGGTTCGAAAATCACCCTATTTGTTTCTCCACACATTTGACTGATTGAGAATAAGTTATGCTTAAGCCCATCAACCCACATTACGTTAGTTATAGTTGGTCCTGATCCAATTTCTCCCTTTCGTAAAACATCAGTGCAGTAGTTATCCCCAAAATAAACCTTACCTTTCTTACCCTTAATCAATTTAGAGAAGAGTTTTTCATTTCCTGTCATGTGGTGTGAGCACCCACTGTCCAGGATCCATTCGCTGTCTTCCATGCTCACTTGGAAGCAGACCTGGACACAGAAATGTTTTATTTGGTTTTAGGTATCCATACCAATTTGGATACTATACTTTTCATCTTGACATTAGCGCAATTATAACTCATATTTCCCGTTGTATGACAAGAAAAGCACACTGTTTCTTTTAACCAGGTTTCCTTAGCTATTTGTTTCTGACCGTGTGAAATGTAATGTCCTAACCCATGATAGTAAAAACACTAAGGAATTGACTTGTTATAGCTTGTTTTTGTTACTAATGGCCTTTTATGTTTTGTACACAGGTGGTTATATCTTTCCGACCTTTAGAGACTTCTTTCTCTAGTACAGCATTTCTTCCTAAGACTTCTTCCAATCTTCTATCTGTTTCTAGTTTTTCCTTTTTCAGTTCATTGTAGTTCTTAGATAGTTCCTCAAATTTTGATTTCATTTTAGCATGTTTTGATTTAACGCGTGCAAATTCTAACTGAATATCCCTTATAGTTTCTATTAATTGACCATCTTCATCACATGAATCAGAGTAGTAGTTAGAGTTACTTACCTGTGAAGCTTCCACATCATCTTCACTTTCTTCCACAGCCATGTATGCTTCATATTTGGGGTCGACTTCCTCCTCTTCATCTTCACTGCAGCTCCAGGTGGCTGTGTATGCTTTCTCCCGCTTCATTTGTGGACACTCTGCTTTGATGTGTCCATTCCTTCCACACTTGAAGCATCCAGCTGACGACCCACCCTTATTGTCGTAGCTGATGAACTCTCGTCTGGCTTTTGGATTTGCCCTCACTGTTTTCACCTGCTCCTTCTCCGAGTCACCTTCCCTTGTTCGATTAGGAACTCCTCCTTTTCTCTTTTCTTTTCGTAGTCTAAGTAGCTTGGCCACATGCTTGCTTAGCATGGCCAGCTCTTCATCTTCCATATCTTCCAGACAGTCAAGTTCTTCCTCTGATGCAGACACTTTAAATGCAATACTCTTCTTCTCTCTTCGATTCTCCTCTCCTTCTTCTCTTCTAAGATTTTCTTCATGTGTTATTAGTGAACCCATGAGTTCGTCTACACTCAGCGTCGTTAAATCCTTTGATTCTTCAATTGCAGTAACCTTAGGAGTCCATCATTTTAAAAGAGCCCAAAGTACTTTCCTCACCATGTCTCCGCTGCCATACTCTACACCCAGGTTCCTTAGACTGTTTACTATGGTGGTGAACCTGTCGTGCATTTCCTTGATGGTTTCCTCTGGCTTCATCACAAAGGATTCGAAATCCTGCTTCAATCGATTTATTCTGGATACTTTGACATGACTGGTACCTTTATGAGCCACTTGCAGTTTATCCCAGATCTCCTTTGCGGTTTTGCATCCGGAGACCCGATGATATTCTTCCAGACCCAACGTGTTATACATGAGGTTTGTCGCTTTGGAATTTAGTTGAAAATTCCGCTTATCTTCTTCGGAGCATTTCCCTCGTACCTCGTTCACTTCAAGTGGTCCATCTAGAACAATGCTCCAGAGATCAGGATCGATCGACCTTATGAACAATTCCATGCGATTGCGCCAGTAGCCATAGTGAACCCTTCGAATCTTGGGGGTCTAGTCTGAGAGAATCTGTCGGCCATGAACACTCCTCCATTGATTGCACTCGAACTCATTTCCTCCACAGGTATTTAACCCTTGTTCGCTGGAGCCGGGCTCTGATACCACGTGTTGATTGAGTGGGGCGTGAGACTCAGCCTGCTATTCCCTTTCCAATCGATCAATTGTAACCCTGAGAAACCCTAGCTTTGATATTTGACAAGATCAAGTGAAGGAAGGTGAAATGAACTGAAACTCGGATCAGTGAAAAGAGTAAAGTAACTCCCCTTTATTGTTTATCAAAACGACACCATATCGGAGACTAACTCTGAGATTGGTTGGGCTCTGTTTTGTTTTCGATCTGTCAACCTTAAACCGGCCCAACTTTGTTACTCTACACGCTGCGTTTTGATAACTCAGTTCCCTTATCCTTTCTTCCAACGATTCGATCAGACTCTGTTCTGCATAAAACTCAGAGACACACTAGACCAAGAACATCAATGAAAACTGGAAATAAACAAAGCACAGCAGAAATATAAATGACACGCGTGACATAGTATTTTTACGTGGTTTCCAATACTGATAAACTTAGTATCGACTAATCCACGGTCAAAGGTACTCTTCTT